GGGGGGGGGGGGGGGGGGGGGGGGGGGGGGGGGGGGGGGGGGGGGCAGTCGGGGCACCTCGTACCGCCAATGAATACGAGTACAGTATAGCGCGCGGGGGCGTGTCAGACGACAGGCTAGTAGCCCAGACGTTGCACATGGTAACGTCTGAGAGGCAGCTGGGCTCCTCTATCTCACTCTCATCTCTTTCTCTGTCTGTCTGTCTGTCTGTCTGTCTGTCTGTCTGTCTGTCTGCCTGCCTGTCTGTCTGTCTGTCTGTCTGCCTGCCTGCCTGCCTGTCTGTCTGTCTGTCTGTCTTTCTCTGTCTCTGTCTCTGTCTCTGCCTTGCCTGTCGCTCTCTCTGCGAGTACTTCCGTCCCTCTCACCGGTAGTTGGAGAAGAAAGGTGTGTGCCTTCCGCCCTCGTCCTTGGTAAGCACGTAAACCTCCGCCTTGAACTTCTTGTGGACCGATACGCTGTTGGGCTTGTGGATGACCTGGTAAGATGACATACAAACCGAATTGAGTGACCGACTGGAGTCATGAAAGGCGCGCCAAGGGGCACTCATGACCGTTCCAAATCTCGGGATGGGCAGGGTCAGGCCAAACCAACCCAATAGGGAGGAAGCCTGATGGAGAGACAACACCCAACCAAAGTGGAAACGTACCAAGATAGACAAGGCGCAGCAAGTACGCCGAACATCGTATGCTCCCGGCTCTGGTGGAAACACCTCAGGGAAGCAGGTAAGGTGCACTGGAAAAAAGCAGCCGTAGCACCAAGCAATAGGCAGTCGTGCGTGAATGGACAACAGAAGCGTATGGGATGTCTAGCGAAGAGCGCTCACGTAGCTGCGAAGGTATATAGACACCGTTGTCCAGTAGGCAGTAGCACGCAAGCCACAAACGGCGCTGGAGGTCTCAAATCGAAGTATAGGTCGAGACAATTGACTGCCGACAACAATGAAGGGGGACTGTCTGCGTGTCAGCGCTTGCTGGATACCCTACATAAGAATCCATCTGCGTTGATTGCTGCGCCCAAAAAGAGTACTCATCCCTTCCCAGAACCAACACTTCATCGGTCGATGAATTACTATCGATGCAGCTTGTGATGCACCATGCATATCTGCACAATTGATGCGCCATTACCAGACGCTGAAAAGCACGGATATATTGCCCGTGACTCGCCGAGCAACAAATGTGCGAAGCGCTAATGGCTCACCCTGAAATTAGAGGCTACACTCGTTTTGAACTGAACATTGGGAGGCATAACACTTCCTAATGAATCGCTAGTGTTGCCGTCGTTGGGACCCGGTACTATGTTGCTAGACAGTAGCATCATGGGAGCATTCGGTGCTGTACTGGATTGGCAAGCAGAACAACTGCTGTCATTCCAAAAACTCAGAGGCGAAACACCTGCAACACACCGGAAAACGCAGTCACACACGACCGCACAGGTAGATCAGATCAACTTCTCAAAAAAGTTGTAGCTGTGAAGGGGGTGAGACTACATCAGCATCTGTCACCTCAGGAAAAAATGCTGTATTCCTGCGAAACACGAAATAGTTGTGGATGTGCATTCAGTCGACGCTCCAGGAGGGACAACTCCGGCTTTGAAAAAAACACGCATTTTCACAGTAGAAGGCATGCAGGACAAGCCTACTCCACAAGCTATTCGCAGGATAATAGTCGCAAGAACAGTATGTCATTGATCTGCGAACACGAAAGGAGCGGCGGAACAAAAAGTCGGCCCCCTCCAGCCGACAGGTATACCTGACACGAGACACGCTCGAAAGGAATATTTCTCCTGTCGAAACAGCGGTGCTGCCGCAAACCGCGAGCAGAGTTGCAACCGAGAAAGGAAGACACGTAAAAACACCGTCAAGACCTACAAAAATCACTTTCTAACCTTTTAACAGTACCACCTTTATCGCCTGAGCAATATGAACAAGTGCTACGCATACAATCGTGCACGAAATACCCCACAGTGATATCCTTGACTCCGGACGAATAGGGTAAACGCACTATCAAGGAAGCCGAGTTCCTCCTTCAACCAGGAGCACAACCTGTAATTACGGCTCCGCATCGCGCCAATCCATGCGTGAAGGAGGTAATCGACAAATGCGTTTACGAGATGGAAAAAGCGGGAATCGTTCAACAAAGACCAACCCCGTGGGGATCAGCGGCAACGTTGGTAGCAAAAGCCGGCGGTTCTCCCCGGTTCTGTGTAGACTATCTAAAGAGCCACCATCCATGAAAACTTGATTCGAAAACCTTGGCCAAATGCCGGAATGGCTAACCACACCGACACAGCCGTAGCAGGTGCAGAATTAATC